TCAGTGTGCCACCATCGTCGTATCGTCGTCGCATTCGCCAGTAATAATAATAAGTACTGCACCGAAATAAGCGTTCGTTTGCGGCGGCTACAGTGTTCCGCGGTAGTTACCTACTTACCTTTTTTTCTACATCTCGTCACCGGTTGTACGCGTGTGTGAGACTTTTTAACTTTGTTCGCTCGCGACACCGTGACCAACATGACCGCGTCGGTGGTGACGCGCGAAGAAGCTCCGGCCGAAAATCTGCAGCAGACCGCGGTCGTGCCCCGTCCCTCTTCGGCGGTGGTCGTGAGGAGCGCGTATAAGCAGTATGGTCAGACGGCCATACTCAAAGACTTGAACCTCACCATTCCTACCGGAAAAATGTAAGTAGCCGTGTATGCAGATACCAAGAGTTGACGGTTTCTTTGGTAGATACCGTCTTATATCGGTTAACCAGAATTCCCTGATGATTATTGTTCATATACCGCGCTTGAACGGTACACCTTAATACCGAATACCTTATACCTTATACCGTATACTAGGTTAGGTTAGGACGGGCTGGTGCCATTCACGGGATTTTCGGTCTACCGATTCTAATACTCCAATACCGGTATCTGATTTATATACCGTCAACCCCGTATGTATATACCTATACATACCTATACTCACGTGGTCAACATGAGCAGAGAGTATGACCACACACAGACGAAACAAAAGCGCACCTTTTCTATATGGAGCTTTCGATATGCTCAATAATAGTACCTTTGTTATATCCAACAGGGATGGACATTTAAAAGTTAAAGCTTAGTTATTACCTTAAATAGTACCTACATTTTCTTAAGTTTTAGCTTAATTACCTAGTCATTTAATTTTCTATAAGCTTATAATTAGAATATTGAAACCAAAACGTTAAGATGTAACAGCTTAGCGCTTAGCTGATATAAATATGTAATTGCTTAAACCAATGCACTTACAGCTATATAGGTAGGTTATCGAGTACTCACTTTAGTACCTATTCGTGCAATAGAACAAATAGTACCTATATAATGTTAATTTAAAGTTTCACAATCATTTTATACAGGTTAGGTTAGTTGTGGTTTAAGTATGTGATACTTTAATTCAACACAATATGGGTGATATAAAAAAAATTTTTAATGAATTTTTTATCGACTTAATTAAGTTAATATTTTTCTCCTTATTAACTTCAAACTTTTAGTGTTAAATATACTGTTTAGAAAATTACTTTCGAATGTCCTTATATCTTAAAGTCTTAACTTAACTAACTAGTAGCTCTTACTGTTAATTATTTAGTGAATAATTTTTGTTTTAATTGGTCTAGGAATAACCTAGTTCAAAATTTGGACGAGTATTTTCTCAGTTACTAAAATGTATTTCAAAGATAAAAGTGCTTAAACATAGTTTAGTTGAAATCTGAAATAGATGTAACATTGAATCTAATATTTATTATAGATATTTGGAACATTTTTACAAATATAATAAATACAAGTATAAGCGAATCGTCCAACCTTGAGCACAAATGAATTAAGATGTATGCGCCTGAACAGTAAACACGTAGGTATTATACATTAACAATAAATGGGTGTATCAATATGACAATATATTATTATCATATTATCTCCTGTATCTATATATACATAAAATAAGAAGACCTGACTGACTGATTTACTGAGACCAGTGCCCATAAGTAAATTCATTATGCGATTTTAGCAAATAATTATAAGGTTAAATTTTATTTTTTTGTAGGTAGTCACGTCTTATAACGTTTTACTCTTAAGTTACCTACTGTAAAAATCAAATAATTTTTCCTTAAACATAATTTGGCACCTAATTTTTATTAATTTTGGGACTGTTGCTTTGCTTAAAAACAATATTTTGACTACCCACTGCGAATAAGTGAGTCATTGTTTTATTAGGCAATTACGTTGTTATCCCCACAGTGAAATTTACGTTTATTAATATTATACTTATCAGTTGTAATATGCACTAAAATAAAACCCTCAAGATTAATATGAACCTTACTACCTTCATTTTTCTCCACAAGATCAATTTATTGACTTGAAGCACATTTCACTTGATTTTGAAAATCAGCTATACCTACAGCTATTCCGAAAAGTGCAGTAGCAGCAACAGCCTCTGAGTTTGTCTGTGTTCTACTGTTACAAAGTCTTTATGATTATAAAAATGATTTTTAGTTTTATATAATGTATACTGTGTTATTTTATATTATATTAGTAAGAATTTCGAAAAATTCTTAAAGATGAATTACTATGTTATTTAATAATTTTAAATGTATGGATTATTTATGTAGGTACCTAACCTACTTATGTACCTACTGTTATATTATGTCAGGGGCTCAAATAACCAGCACAGTCTTGTATAATAATATAATACGATCGATTACGGAGGCACCGGGAGTTGGTTATGTCTTATTTATATGACAAATGTCATATAGGTAAATTAATGGTTGGATAATTTTTCTAATAATACGCTTTGATATATGGGCGTGTGCTTAAGCTTTAAAAATAATTATATCATAAGCGTTTTAAAATACATCGCTATGCATCTGATTGATTGGTCTTTGCAATATCTGGACTGGTCTTCCTGCACTTGCAGTGCTGCACTTCTATACCACTGACCACTGTACCATGAACTTTAAAAGCAATCAATGTTATTATATTTATTATAATAAAGTATTAGATAAAAAACTATATTGCCTAATATATTTATTATTTTAATAATGCATAAGCATACGTAATATAGAATATTCCAATAAATAGATTATTAAAAATTGTAAATTTGTAATAAAACACGAGCAGAAAATAAGTCTAGTGGATGGTTACATTATTTTGCTCAAATGAAGTATGGTCATAAATAATTTTGCGGTATTATCATTATACTACTAATAATATATTATTGAAGTATAAGTTTATAAAATGTCTGTATAGGAGCATCGAAAAATTTGAAAACAATTGCACCTCTGATCATCTCCCTCATTTTTCGGAGCTGCGTTTGTTAATAATAATTATCATATGCATATTATTAATATGTACTAAATATTTTTTAAAACATTCAGGTGCAAAAGTGTTTATTTTATGTTAGATCCAGAAAAACATAATATTATGTTATTTCGGACTATTAGTTCTATCCAAGTGTCACAGTAAGCTGGTTGCTATTATAATATGAATATTATTGTTAAAGGATAAGGCAACAACTTTGGTATTAATTGTTAAGTAGATTATTTATTTATAATAGTAAAAAAAAAAATGTTCAAGTTAAAAAAAATTGTTGTTCAACTTATATCTGATTATTGGTAGACATTTAACATTTCAATTTGTTTTCACTTTTTCATGTGTTTGTTGCACTCCAGCTTAATATTATTTCGTAGTTGAACGTTTCAAATTGTCTAGCTCCTTATTGAAACATAATTCGTATTATATGATAATATTTCAAACAATAAAAAGTAATAGGTATATTGACAATATTGCACTAATGGTTTTCATTACATTATCCAAGTTTGCGTGAATATTATGGTACGATTGTCGAGTGTTTCACCTATGATTACGTAGAATTATAAATGTCCATAATGGCAGAAATCGTGTCCGTTTTTACATTGATTACTGTAATCTTTAATTAGCTAATAAATATTAAAGGAGCAGACAACACGAAAAAAAATGTTCTTTAAATTGTTATTAAATGCGAAATCACCATAGTTAGAACTACTAAAACGATTTTATCAGAATCCAAAAAAAAAAGTTATTTAAAGATATTTCCGGACATTTTCGGATAATATCTAGAATATTCACTTGACGTTACTGTGTCGGGCTCGGCATAACCTCTATATATTACTCGTGTAAAAGTTGCTCACTTTACACAACGGTTTGACAACCAAAACATTTTATTTTTAATGTAATTATTTTCGTTAAGTACACGTATAAGATAGGCAATTACCTAGATCCTAGCCCAAAAACCCCAAGCGTCTTTTTAGTTTTTACGAGAACTCAATGAAAATAACTCATTGAATAATATTAGTAGGAACCTTAAACCTACACTATTATTCTTAGAAATGAACATTCTTTCAAATTAAAAAACTTATTTTTTGTTTTTTGTGATCCTTTAATACTCCACCATGCATTTTATAGCAATATATAAATATTACAATATATATACCTAATATTGTAATTATTTTTAATCGATACTTGTTAATAATATTTTACTGAATGTAGATACACTGCGATATAATAAAACAATTGTTGGTGGTGATTTGATCGTAACCCAATCTCCACTGGAATTTTATCTATTATAGGTTTTACGATAAACTCGTTTTGAAAATCGGATATCAGAAGGCATTAAAGTCTTTATTTTTGTTACATTTACAATTTTAAGATAGCTAACGTCTATGATATGTAACAGGAGTGAATCTTAAAATGTTTCACTGGGGGAGGGAAAACTTGTCTTTATACTTACGACTATGCTGCCTAAATTGTAACATAATACGTAAAAGCAACAAAATGTACCTTGGCTACTTACCCTCCAAGAATATGCAAAAGAAAAAATTGGATCCAATATATTATATTATATAGTATATACATATTATACATAATGCAAACCTATGTAAAGAAACTGTGTTGGAGGAAGTGGGGAGGTAACCTTCTCCACCATCATTAGATCCGTGTCTGTGATATGATTGTATTCTGATTAAAACACTAATCATCAATCAATATGTAATAATTATACATAAATGAAAAAAATCGTTTTGCACGAATATTATGGAACAGTTAAAAATAAAAATATTAATCTATTAATAAAATATAAAATCATGATAGTTTAAACATATGTGGTTAAAAAATATTCTCCGTCGAGCTCGTTAATTATTCATGAATGTCACATCAAATGATTTCTATTACTTAATACGTATCCAAATTTGAAACTTATGGCATGTGAGAAAAATACTATTAATTCGGACAAAAACTAAATTTGTACCTATTGTTAATTTTTAGATATGGGCTATTGGGACCCAGTGGCTGTGGAAAAACGACTCTACTGAGCTGTATCGTCGGTCGTTTACATTTAGATTCCGGAGAGATCAAACTTAAAGGCAAACACATATCCGACATCGGATATATGCCACAAGTAATGGCACTAAATCACCTTAACGAATATTATTTTTATTAATTAATATTACTTTCCTCCGTCTGTATTTCTAAAGGAATTGGCATTGCACAATGAATTATCTATAAAGGAAACGTTCACGTACTATGGTTACATATTTAATTTGTCAAATGATGTTATCGAAACAAGAGGCCGAGAATTAAAGGAGCTCTTGAAATTGCCATCGTACAGCCTAAGTCTAAACGAGATTAGGTAAGTACCTAGTAGGCAATTTGACAAACGTCGTTCACGATTAATGTTGCTAATTACTATAAAGATGTTGTGATAAATTTTATTTTTTTAACAAAGTGGTGGTCAACAAAGAAGAGTGTCCCTTGCTGTAGCGATGCTCCACGACCCAAAACTGTTGATTTTAGATGAACCTACAGTTGGTCTGGATCCTCTAATTAGCCAAAGGTAATTAAATCTGAGTTTAATAAAATTACATATTTACATTAGTATAAAATAGGTATCAACATAAATGTACAGTGCACATAGTTTATACTCTGTAGCCAGTGTATAACCATAGGTAATACAAATAGGCGGTAACTAGGTGGAGCTAAAGGGCTAAGCTTGCCATAGACTTTTTTTAGCTCTCCTTTAAGATTTTACTTGTTAGCCCTTCCTGGTTAAAATCTAACCTCACATAAACTGTCATGGGTTTAATGTATAAATTATTTAATAATATAATTAAATATGTGAGTATTAATAAAATGTATTAATATTGAGGATGTGCATTGTACAAGTTTATTAATGAGGTAAATCAAAACATACTTCAGGTCAACTATAGTTTTATATAGCCTTAATGCATTATATAATATATATTATGTTTACGTGATCTATAGATTAAACATTTTTATATTTTATTTTAAAATTAATTTTTATACTCTTACAAATGTATATTAAAATGTCTTACGGTTAAGTGGTTATTAGGAACTGGTTACGGAAAAATGGTAGACGGGGAAGTGATCCGATATCACACAAAACAGATTTAGTGATCTTGCTATGGTAAAAATATAGAAAGGGAATTTTATTAAATTGACGATAATGATATTTTTAAAACATTTGCATCTAAATATGCATATATTATACATTTATACGGTTAAAATGTATATTATATTATACTTATATAATTTTTAATGACGTAATGGGGGAGTGGGTATACGCTTTTCCTCTTTGGTTTATTTTTAACTTTTATTTTACAGGTCTCTCTAGTCCCTATAATTACTTAACACTTATGACTCTCATAATGGGGGAGGGCTTTCAAGGCCCATGGCTTATTTTTAATTTCTTTGATTTTCTAGGACTTCAGCCCATGTAACTATTAAATACTATTTAGGGCCATGGTTATACGTCACGTAATATATATTGCATATAGGTTAGGTTAGGTTAGGTTAGGTAACTTAATACAATAATTATAAAATATTAGATTAAGTGAAAATAAATGTATGTGTTTATTCCACATGTACTAACTGCGATTTGGATTTCTAGCATTTGGGAACTTCTTTTGGATTTGACATCGAATGAAGGTAAAACAGTGATAATCACCACGCACTATATCGAAGAAGCAAAACAGTCACAAATGGTGAGACGATTTTCATCAACTTTCTTTAGTAGAATGCATGTACACAATTATAAACAAACATATATTTTGTTTATAGATAGGTCTAATGAGAAAAGGTACTCTTCTTTCCGAAGCAACGCCAACGGAACTATTGACTTCGTGCAATTGTTCGTATTTGGAGGAAGCATTTTTAAAGATTTGCCAAAACCAAGTGGCCAAGACAAATAGTTTCAAAATACCAGTGAAACAAGTACGGAACAATAGAGTTTTTTTGAAAATAATATATGTATTATGTAAGACGATTTTCCCTGTATGATAAGTAAATATAGCCATATGGGTTTAATAATCAATGTTTGATACTAATTATAGATACTATTGTCACTTGCTTGTTTTATTTTCTAATGACTAAGAATTTTTTTTACACAATCCTTAACCCTCCAACAATTGCAACATATCATGCTATGTATTACTTAATGTTTAGTATACTATATAATAATATAATGTTATTATTTAATGAATAAATAATATGTATAAAGTTAATAACTTGCACGGTTACGCATAAATATAATATGCTATACATACAAGTTGTAATAATGTTTAGTTTATCTAACATTTTTCTGTAAATGCCTTTTATTTTTATTTATGTTACAATAAGTCATTGGAAGGAGGCATAAACTAATGTAATATTATTTTGATTCAGTTAAAGACGTTGGTATAATAATAATTTTATAATCGGTATTTCCAATAATCTATAATATAACTACAAAATTGTGACAATTTAATACTAATTATTTATTCAATATTTTGCGTTTCTCCTGCAGCCTACAAGAAGGTTTTCTTACGCTCGAGATTTGCCCCCACCGCCACTGTTAAACAACACATTATTCACGTTTGGGCGTTTCAAAGCTCAGGTGTGTAAAAACATTTACCTGTTGAGAAGAAACATACCGTGAGTACAATATTATAATATTATTTAATTAATGTATATATAGAGTGATTCATACAACTCCCTTTTTCTTCAATAATGTAGTATTTCAAAATTTGATTTTGGAATTTTCAAAAAAGTATTACTATTTAAGATCAATTTTTCAAATATTTGAGATTTTTTTAACTATTTGTAAGGAGTGAAGGAGATACAAATTTCTTTTTTTGTTTTGCCGTACCAGAATCAAAATCCAAACATGTAGTTTTTGAGTTATTTAACTTTATGTATACTAAGGATAATGTAGTTCCATTATAATGGGTTTGGAAGATAAGGGACTACTGGAATAAGACAATTTTAGTAAAAAATAATTATGTATCAGCATTAATGATTTGTACAAATCATCCAACATGAAATATTATAATAAATACTAAATCCAATATTACATATATTTTATACAGTTGTAAACCATTTTTCAAGACTATACATTATCCATATTAAAATAAAATTGAACAACTGAGAAAGTACTCGTTTATTTTTGGAATAAGATACATCAACATTTTCAAAAAAAAAAATTCACTTAATAGTTTACATTAAAAGAGAAGGGTTTTCATATTAAATACTAAAGTTTGAATCACCAGTATTTAAAAATACTAGTACTATACTATTAGTATTTTAAAATATGGTGTTTGGGTACATTTAAAAAATCCAAAAATCAGAATTTGAACAATTTAATTTTTAAAGCCGAAATTGAGGTGAGCATGAATCAGGTCTATAATATTTGTATGCTACTTCTTATTCACTAAATAAGTGACTACCTGTAGATAATCATAAACAATAAATAAAGAATTCATTGTTTTGTTTTATTATATACTGTTTTTAAAGGTTTACTCTATTTGTGATCTTCTTACCACTGATACAGACAGTTTTATTCAACGTCGCCTGTGGCCATGATCCGAAACATTTGACATTAGGTATATTAAATGATGAGCCAGTGAGTCAAACAGGTACGTGTTCGTTGACGCAGACGAAAAATTGTTTTTTGGATGGAGGCGTGCCGGTCAGTTGCCTAGTATTGGAAAGATTAAAAGAAAAGACTTTTGAATTGGTAATATTTACAAACAGATACTTTCATTACTGTTGACACAGATTTTTGTGTTTGAATGTTTTTTTATGTACGTACTTTGGGTGACTTATAGGACTTTTAAAAACTCGGGTCATCGGTTTGAATGTCGTGTTCAAAAAGTTGCTTATTCAAAATGCTAGTTAAAAAAAATAAGAAAGATAATATTATTAGCAGCTATCAATAGGTATCAAAAACTGGGAATATCCAAATTAAATTTTTTTTAAATCTTGTTTAGAGTTAATATTAACTGAAATAATGTTTTTTTTGGAATAAAACATTCCCCGCCCATGAAAAGTCAGAAATAAAGTAGTAAAAGCTGTTACTGCATTTCTATAATCTACTTTTTTGGACACCCTATTTATTTTGGGTTTTTTTTAACGTGTATACTTAAGTACCTATATGCTGAAACTAAAAGTTCAATCTGTATTTGACTCTTAGGTAGTTAGGTATAGTTTTGAAGAAGTTAGTCCGTACTTCGTTGGTCATATTATTATAGCTTAATTTATTACTAAAAATGGTTTTGGTTTCAAATAATTCTTTGTTTATTGTTTTTATTTTTGTGATTGTGATTTTTTTATACACTCTTTTAAATTATTTTAAGAGTGAATAACCTATTTTTATTTTCAGAAAGTTTCAGGTAATTTGGAAAATATGTATTAATTTATCATTTTTTAATTTTTCCATAATAATTTTTAGAGGTCTTTGACAGTTTTTTCTTAAACTTTTCTGGCATTTCAACGGTTTTCATAAATTGTTAGTATAGTTTTTATTTGCTTATCTGCAGTATTGTTTTACGATCTACATAGCTTATCACTAACGATTTGCCTCTACTCTGGTAGTTATTATTATTCTATGACTGCAGGGGTACATAACTTATAATATATCTAGTTGAAAAATAATAAATTATAATAATTAACAACCTGTTGATTGGCTGCATTCGAACATGATTAAACGAAGGATATGCACCTCGAAACAAATTTCTTACATTTTGCATTTTAACACTAGAGTTTCTCCCACAAGGATTTGTTAGATCGTGAGAAATAAATATTTTTTAAATTTATATATTATTTCCATATGGATGTAAAAAAGAAATAAGTTATTATAATTTAATTTAATTTTAGATCTGTATTTTTTATTTTTTCAACAACTGTTCAGTTTACATTTAACGGAGTTTAAGGAGCAAAATCCACAAAAACGTAGTGCAGGATAAGCTAGTAATTAATAATATCGAAATACAAATAATATTTATAATTATAAAACTTTTTTCTGGTAACATGCTTAATAATTTATTATTTTAACTCGTCGAAAAGTGATCGAGAGTGTTACTCAGTAATATCGTCCGTATCAAATTACAGCAATATGAGATGTCTAGTCATTGACAAACTACTATAAGTTAAAATAAAAAAATTACACTTATTAGTCATAATTATTTACTAAATAAAAATGTCAGCGTCGAGTAACCGGAATTCTGAGCACGTATAGCTATTCGAGATAAAAATTAAATATCGACACGGTAAACGGCAAAGTAACACTGTAAATTAAAACAGTATATTATTATCACAGTTCAATGCCGAAATGTATAATGCAATAGAGAACTCTACGTTTGACTTTTAACATAATTTTAAGGGACCTTCGAACACATGACATATTTTGAACTAAGATGTACATCACGTCTCTTCCACATTTTAGATGTGCCTATTGTGTGTTAAAATTTACGACTGCTGAAACCCGTCTTAAGTTACATTTCAGCTGAAATATATTTTTTTGTTTTGGATGTAATATATATTATAGTGTCTTTTATATGAGTTTATAAAATCTTTATAGAATGTAAAATAATATATACATAATATTCGATAAACCTATAAGCAATTTGGGTGTCAAATTCATATAATATATTAAATATTTGCCTATATTATGGAAATAAAGTGTATACATTATACAAGGTAATCCAAAATTTGATTTTTGGAATTTTTATTTATACTTAAAATATTTTATATTTTTAAATCATCGAGATTTCTTGTACCTACTGCTTCAGGAATATCCTGTAGAAATATAAACTTCTGTATTTAAAATTACCATCTCACTTTTCTAGTGTTCCTAATTAATTTAGCGAATTATTTTTCTGAAAACGTTGACGTATCAAAATTAAAATTTAAACGAGTAGTTTTTGAGTTATTTAACTTTGTGTATTATTATATTAAGAATAACAGGTCCATTATAACGGGTTTGGAAGATTGGGGCCATCATGGTTATTTAAAAATGTTAATAATGTATATTAATCCATCAATATTTATAATTTATAAAAATGAAATTCAAAACAAATAACAAATAATAAATCTGATACAACATTTATTTTTATTTTTGTAAAACCATTTTTAGGAATGATCATCTTGAATATAAACATTTGTATAACTAAAAAACTACTAGTTTGAATTTTGAATTAGATACATACAATTATAAAAATTATCTATAAAATAACTTAAAGTAAAAAAGGGGTTCTCGTTTAAAAAGCAGAAGTTTGTATAGCTACAGGACACTCTTTAAGTAGGTAGTACAAAAAAATCTCGAGAATCTTAAAACATGGTTTTGACTTTTGAAGTAATTGTACCTAAAAATGTCAAGGAATTCCATTTAAAAAATAAATATGCCTGGTGAATCACACTGTATATAATATTTTTTTTTCACATTGCAGGTTGAATATTCCAATTCGGAAGATGGTCAGTATGCAGTGTCAGAAAACAAAGTCTGGGGATTCCTTCATTTTTCGAAAAACTTCAGTACTAATTTAGCAACCCGTTTTAATGAAGGGGGAGATATCTCGGACAACAACATATTTGACATGGGATCGATCCAAGCATGGATTGACAATACAAGTAAGAACATGAGATTAATATTTAATATACTACTATTGTTTATTGTGGCGCCAAAACGGGTTGCCAAAAGTGATGCAACTGCGTAATGCTCTCGAAAGTGAGTGGGTGTAAATACTAAATATTATACTGCAGGTGGCACAAATATGCCTATGTAAATTATAATAATTCTTTTTTACGAACTACCTATAGTGATTTATTTTAATATTTAATCATTATGACATGAAAGCTGTATGTAAGCTATTTCGTTTGTTATACATTTTAATGACTCCAGTAGCCATTGTTAGTAATTTGATGACAAATTGGACATATGAAATTGATATGTTTGTTTTTAATCAAAATACAACAACTACCTGTTTACTAGTGATAATGATTACATTAATATTACATCTGGAAAGAGGGAAAGTGCCCCTTCTCATCCTACCACATTCGGGAATTTTTAAATAACTACCACCACGGGGCTAGGACATTAGTCTATAGGTAAATAGGTATATGATTTATTGGTATTATATACCTATACTATATTGACCATTTATATAGAATATACCGTCAAGCATAAGAACCAGCTACCAAAAACTGGTCGTATTTTTACTGTCAATAATTATACTTTATATGAGAAGGCACCTAATCAATATTTTATAATATTTAGCTTCAATGTTTTAAATAAATATTATGTGATTAAATAAATAGAAATTATTTTCAAACGAGCCGATATAACTTATTGTATACCAAAAAATAAAAAAAGTGGATGGGCACTTTTGTAAATCACTTAAGCTTTCATAATTAAGCTATTAGCTATCTAAAAGCTAAGTCGATAGATGCGGAGGTATATAACTGTTGTCCATCAGCTGTCCATCTATGTTCCCACGAATTGCATTACTCTATGATCGTTTCGAACGCATTCAAATCACGGGCTTGCCGCTTGAAATTAATATTGTTATTTATAGTAATATGTCTATTGTCTATGTCTTAAACTTATTGTATTGCTTATTATAATAAAAAAGCTGTATGACGATATTAATAGGAAATAAATAAATTAATAAATAGTAGGGATATTTCAAAAGTATATTACTTAAGGTATGTGATTTCGAAATAGTTCTTGTTACTTTAGTGCATGCTTTAGTTACGGGAGTGGAAAAAATGCAAAATTGAGTTTTATAATTTGAAGGAAGTGCTATGCTAATTATGGAAAGGAGAATCTTATAAAAATCCAAAATGTTACATTTGGAGGGGAGAGGAGTGGGTAGAAACGCTTTAACACACACTTTCTAAAAAGCATATTTCGTTTTTTAAATTATGATGTAATTATTATATATTACATTTTACACTATACATAATTTGCGTAAATATAATTTAATGGAGGTAAAATTAATTGGTTAGTAAATTAATATTTGGTGGCCACGGCTGCCCAAAACAATGTTTTTATAAAGGCTGTTGAAAGCTGGTTGGTTTTTCTTGAATTTAGATCAATAAGAGGACGATAATATATACTTCCAGAAGTAAAATTTTAATTTTGAAAAAATATATTTATTTGTTCGCTTCCTGTCTGTGTTTTATTGGAAATTAATTAATATTTATTTTTATAAACACTTAAGTCAAAGTTAATTTTGAAAAAAAATTATTTATTTCTCTACTAATGAAACAATACAACAAATATAAAATCAATTTCTTACATTTCCTAGGAAAGATAATAAGGAATTCAAATATGTCTTCAAAAATAAAATTAGGCTTTACTGGAACCTTTTTTTCTCGCTTTTTGGAAGAATTTTTGATAGGATATTAATTTTTAATTTGTTGTTTTGTTTAATCCCATAGTATATTTAATAGTTTATTTTTCAAAATTCCTTTTTTTTTTGTATTAAGTATTAACAATAATAAATATTAATATCCTACAACACACAGACAAAAAGTGAACAAATGAAATTGGACTTCTGTAAGTATATATTTTTTCTCCCGCTTATTGGTCTAAAATCTAAAAACAAACCACTTTCAATAACCTTATTAATAATTTTACCACGGATCCACTACAATAAAAAAATATTCCATCAAAAGTACATTTTATTTTTCAGACAAGTATATGTACGACATGATAAAAAGAGACATTTTTGACAGCTACACAGACGTGGTTGATAGTCTTTTCAACAAATGTAATATATCAGAAAGAATCGGCAACACACCAATCCGGGTAAGTGGACTGCAACTACAGCTACAGATATAGTCTTTACAGTTGTACATTGTTAATTTAGTCGTTAATGATATATTTTTCTAAAATTTCCTACACGGATTCCGAATAATGTCTACAAATTCGACTTTTAATAATGTGCAGCACACAATTAAAAGGGTACGAAATCACCGACGACAGTCGACCATAATAATATAATTTTATAGTTACGTAATTTCGATGGACAAATAAATAATGTAATCCGTAACGTCGACAACATTATTATGCAATGCATAGTTATTAATTATATGATGATTTTCGAGGGCAGACTATTTAATAATAATATTAAATAGTAATTATTTATACGCATTGTTTATATTTTACATAAAATTATTGTCCTCGACGAGTTCATTTTATATTATCTTAGTAGGTATATGAAAATAATGTGACGAGTAGTTGGCAGTGCGTCTATACAGGCAACTTGAGATTCGGGCACCCCACCAATACAATAATGGTTGGAATAATACTTAAAATGTGGATAATTGGGTAACTCTCTGTTGTACGAAATATGAGTTACCTACTAATGTTGTTATTTATTACCTACTGATGAACAGTATTATAGACGTTTTGACTATAACTGTACAATTTTAAATGTTAGTTAAAATACTTTTTTACATTATAAACCGATTTGTATAATATACAAATTACACAACGATTATTAAGATAATATACATTATCAATTTAATTTTTTTCAATTTCAGTATGTATACCTACATTTTTAATTAGGTGAAAAAAAAATGTTGATTTTAATATTAATATTGATTTTTCAAACAATTTCTAAAGATTTATATCGATATTTAACGCATGACTGTCTTTTGGTGCAGTGTTATGACTTTGGAGGAGTCGGTGAATTATTTGCAAAACATATAAATAAGATGTGATACCGTTATAATAATGAACATTTTTTATTGGTTTTTTTTTTATAGATTCTTGACCCTGTTTATGGAAACAAAAATCCAAGTTTTATACATTACGCGTCACCAGCTATAATAGCACTGTAAGTATAACCATTGTTCAATAGCGTGAGTACATGGGCAGCAAATCGCAGCTTTTGCTGCCCCTGATCGACCGGTTTTAAAATTATAAAGTTAATACATTTGTTATAAAAAAATGGTACATGATAAATTATTTTATGTCAATGGTGTTAATTATGTAAAACACAAACTAAGATACTGTCTTAATTCCTGGATATAATCAAATATAAACATCCAAAATAATTTTTGTTAGCATACACGAAATCATTCCACAGTCTATCTGAATTAAAAAGAAGTGTATTGATCCTTAACACATATCTTCATTATTCATTATATAATTTGTTAGTTCTTCACAAAATAATTTAACTCAGCCATCTATAGTCTATACATGTGTTGTATGTCTACATAAGTGATTTTTAAGGGACAAAAGACTACCAATGAAGTATAAGTTGTCCTAAAATACAAGAATACATTAGTTTAAATTAAAAAAGTAGGTATATTCTGTTACTTCAGTAGGGACGTACATTTTGCATGTTTCGTGAAAGTACCTCTTCTATTTCTTTTTCAAGTAAAGCACACTAAGCACAGCACTTTAAATCAAATATTAAAAAATAATATTATTTTAGAAAGATAATACACTATGCTATAAACATTTATATTGTGTTTCTGATTTTTTTTTTTGTAGATAAAAAATAAACATTTTTCTCGTCTTAGCGATGTTTAAATAATACATAGTTAAATCATCCATCCATATTTGATATTAGTATATTACCTTATACTATAATGCATGAGTTGGAAATCTTTTGATGTGAAGGCCCCCCCAAAAAAATATAGGTATATTTTTCACGAACCACTATTTGCTACCCACCTTATGTTATTTGACATAAAAATGTTCAGTCGTAAAAGTTAAGTTTATTTAAGTTCATAATTGTTAGGTACATTAATTTAACAAGGTACCTATATGCAAACCAACAACGTTTTAATTTGCTGTTTTTAGTCCATACTATCTTAGTTTGTTTTTTTTTATAAAAATTAAAAAGTTTGCTCGTAGGCCACATTCAATTTCTACAGGGGCCGTGTACCGCTGATCCCTGCTATATATCAGTGGCACCAATGATTTTTTTACGGTGGGCAAACATATTACATAGGTATACATTTACCACCATCATTAATACCCTGCAATTCCAAACATGTTAATTCACTTTGTTATTAGTTAATAAAACAATATTACATTTGCAATATAATTGTTTTCCGTTTTTTAAATTCATTTTTCCTTGGGGGGGAGGGAGGGGGTGCAAGTGCCTCTCAAACTCTTTGGGTTTCACGCCACTTAGTGGATAAGAAAATAAGCACTTTCTATAGAATCTGAACAATATTTCATTATTTTATCATTAGGGAAGTAGCAGGGAGTGGTAGCCTACCAATTCATGATTAAGTTGAATATGTATGAACAGTGAAATTCATATTGATAATAATTTAAAAGTTATAATTCATTATTTGTTTTTGGGCAATTAGAAAGATTATACCATGATCCGGTAAGAATATTTTATGCACTTGGCCAGAAACATTGTGCACTCTTGAGCTTGCCTATAGAATGCAATAATTTTATATACTGTATTTAATTTGTTAATCTAGGTTTAAGTGATATAATAATTAATAATTATGTTTTTTTTTTATTTTAAAGATGTGCATTTTATCTCCCTGCAATCTACACAGGATCTACAATCATTTCTGAAAAAGAAGGAGGGGTTATTGAGAGAGTAGTCTTATCAGGTATTATCGAATTAACCTACTATTTACCACAAATATGATGACGTTTGTTTGTCTACAGCTACTTCATTTGCTATAATCAATGTAAATTATGTATAATTTATGTTTACAACAATTTGTATTTATATGTCAATAACTTTAGTTAGAGGAGAGGGGCTGCTACGTCCCTCGTTTTTAAATAAATATTATGGGGGGCTTGAGTTCCAAAAATTAAAATGTTTACTATTTTCACCTTTGCATCTGCATGGCTCCATAGGTATCATAATATTATTAATTGATGAACAATAACTCTGTAGGAATGAATTTCATCGAAATCGCCTTGGCTCAAGTATTGGTGCAGACGATATTTATCTTCATTCAAACCACTCTGGTGATGATCGTCATGTTCGTTATATTTGACAATCCATTCGTCGGCGACATATTTCCGTCGTTTTTGTTATTGACGATGATCGGTTGCGGTGGAATGTGTTTCGGTACGTATATTTTATTTAACAATAATACAATTAAAATATCGTAAAATAATAATTAAGGTACACACATATATATTATACTACATTAACATGTATTTGATCATAACTAAAATGTGTATATCAGGCTAGCTAGCTGTGGTATTCAAAGGTTGAACGTTTTCTAAGTGGAAATTATTAGTTAAAATCATAATTTTAATATTAATAAATTTATCAAAGTAAATATACCTAACTAAATAATACATACAAAAGAGTAAGTACTTAATATTTAAAAATGTGCAGATAGGTCGATAGTAAATTAGTATTCATAAGGATTATCCATACATTTTTAGGGGATATTTAGTGAAGTCTTAAGCAAACTCATTACTCATTATAGAAACTTGTAATGTTCGCTTAAATATATTTTAGTTACATTAGTATAGCAAATTATTCGATTAGTGTCACGGAGGATAAATTTGACAATCATTTACATGCATTCATATTGATCACACCATTTTTTATAAATATTTTTTAGTAAAAAGAAAACTGAACGAATAATAGGTATACATTTTCATACAAAATAATAATTATATAGGCTAATAACCTGTTGTTGTTGAAGCCTTTATCTCAAAAAAAAATAAAAAAAATAAAAAAAAAATAATAGTAATAAAATAATAAATATTAAAGTGTAGGTATATCTGCATATTATGATTATCAGTGTGTAACAAAGTTACAAAATTGCTAAAATTAATTATAATAAAATATAAACTAAATATGAAAAAATATTAAAGAATAATAATAAGTAATTCAGGATCCTATTATATAGTAATAATTTTGACCAATTTTGTGCAACATGTTTCAAGGTATAGATCAATGACGTATTTATTTTACATTCAAATACATGTATGATGGGATGTGTGCCCGTCGATTCGCCGACGCAATAAACACAACTTTTGTCACATTATTTATAATTAATAATAATTATATTAAACGATGTTTTTTTGTCCGCAGGTTTTTTCACGGCCATCATCTGCAGGACAACGACGGAAGCGGCTTTCCTGGGCATTGGAACTAATTTCCTGTTGAAATTTTTATGTGGTAATTATCTTATTTTTATAAATGAATAGGTATTAAATTAAATAACACGCACCCGTGATATAGAAATTAGTTTTAATAATAATAATAATAATAATAATAATAATAATAGAGCATCACAGTAATGTGTTGTAGCCGATCTGATTTGTGGGTTGGGCGTTGTGTGCCATGCTTGCCTTAAATTGCATTGGCTTAACACAATATATATACAAATCTACTTAAGTGATTCATTGAACAAAAAACACTAATTATTTCAAAAATTGTAGTACCTATAGTTTTAGAAAACATTTATTTATTACATAATTTTAATTCGTTACAAACAATTTTTTTTAATTTTTACTTTCTTAAATGTCAACAAAACTACATTAATTATAATTTCATAATGTGAAACAGAGCAGCTACATTTCGAAATATTTCGATAGGTACATAAAAATGAAATTTCAAGGTAGTTAATAAGTTACCTATAACTTATAAAGTTATAACTTTAAAGCATATAGATTCTAGAGTTTCAAGTTAAGTTGAGCATATTTTCATATATAGTATAGTGGACCAACATTTTGAGTTGTACCCCTGTGCCACTCTACTCCACTCATTTGAATTATAAATACTTTTAGATTTTTAATTTAAACTTCGAATAATCAATGTTTAAAGTATCATACATTTTGAACATCCCAACAACTTTTATTGGTGTTGGGGAACGAAATATATAGTCACTCAATCGATTTTAATTAGGTACCCAAACTCACTTTTCAAAACCTTAATTGCATTACTATAATAAGAACATCCATCGGTATGATTGACAAAATACTGTTAAATTTTGGATAAGTTACATTTAGGTTTGCAATCCAATTAACGTTACTATCACGTTGATTTGACTAGAAACCGTATAGAGTATATTTTTTGTCAATTAACTCAGTCTTCACCTCAGCAGCTACTTAACTGTTGTCACTACACCTTTCACCTTTTTCACAAAAAATTACCGTTTCAGGACTGATGTGGCCCACTGAAGGCATCCACTACCTCTTGCGTAGCATCAGCGTCTACTTACCGCTGACGATGTCTACAGAAAGCCTGAGGTCACTGACCGCCAAGGGCCTGGGTCTCCAGCATCCATCAGTATACCTTGGGTTCATGTCGATCTTCTCGTGGATACTCGTCTTCACGCTGGTGTCGTTCGTAATGCTGAAACTCAAACGCGACGTGTGGACGAAAAGTTAACTGGAATGTGTAATCCGCGTCACAATAAGAATATTTTAATTTATAATAATAATACCTATAAAATTATTGGGCATCGTTGGGTACGTTATTAGATAGGCATAGACCGTATTGTGTCGTTTTCGCAAAGGCGGAAACCAGCACCAATAGACAACAATCGAAACTGCAAAACTAAACACAAATTTAAGTATTATATTGTTCATACAAATTTATGCCCCGTGTATAGGTAATAGTTGTAACGTTTTAGTTGTTTTTTTTATTGTATTGATGTATAATAATTTAATAATAAAAGAATATAATATTATGTATATAAAACATACTACAAGGGTCGAGAGTTTAATTTCCATTTTTATGAAATTATAATAATATTATATTGTATTAGTATATTATATTAGGTGATTATTATTGATTGGTGAACAGCGGTAGGATAGGTTAGGTTAGATTAGTAAAGTGGTTAAGTTACTAAGTTACTAAGTTATTAAGTTAGCCTAACCTAGCTATTAAAGTGTTTTTCTTTATCAAATTCTGTACATAAAAACAAATTTACCTAAGAGTGCAGGTAGTGTGAATTGATATTCAATGTAAATTTAGTCGTTTATAAAATCATCAAAAACATGAGTGAAAAAACAAAGTTAGTATAATAATACTCGTAAATACATAGGTATAATGAACTATGTAAGAAAAATGGAATGTTTATATAAAAAATTAATTAATTAATAATGACTATTTCAAGAATTGAATCTAGACATGTTATTTATTGATTATTAGGTACGAAATAATAGTGGGTGTTTTAGATATCAATTGCATTTGCTTGTGTCTGTCTAAAAATCGAAATTATTTTATTCATATATAATAATAAAACAGTATGGGAAAACTCAAACAGAAGCAGTGATAACGATTATTCTCAAACCAATCGAAAGTTCTTTAAAAAGTTATTCGATTATAGACATTTTCTTAACACTCTACGGGTGAAAGACATTCGTAACATGTTTATTTGTGAACTATTAACTACCTTAAATTAAAACATGTATCACTACGACGTATTGCTACATTCACTGAAAATGCACCCCTTGTTTTATATGTATCTGAGAGTATAACGACGTTTATAGAAAATATTAAATTAATCGACCGCCAATGTCTGACGCATCTCCACATTGCAAACTCTCTTGAAAATTTCATAGATTTCATTAAAACAATTTAAAAAAAGCTTTAACACTTACAAGTTAAGTCTCCCAAAATAAATAACCTATTCATATAATATATTATAAATGACATAAGCAAGTTTATGAATAAAATACAACCGAATAATGCACGAAACCACGTTGCATTGTCAAACACAAAGCAGCTGATTTTATATCGTGTACGCCGGGTAGTGGTCTTAAACTGAAAAATAATCGAATATAGTCAATATTTATTCAACAGAAAAAAACTTTCTGGGTCAAAGTACCAATACTTTAACAACTATCTTCAATATGTCGTAGCATTTACTAAAATAATTAATAATACAACTAATTTAAAAACTCCGTTACATCGTTATATGCACAACAAAGTGATAGACTTAATTTGAGTACATAGGAGATAAAAAAAAATTTATAAACCTATAAAAACGATATCATTAAAAAGACGTTTTAAATTTAAGGCGTAACTGTGTGGAGAAAACTCTAGACAAATTCAAGACTAAAATTCAAACAAAAATCAAAATTAAACATTTTCTATGAAACATTAATTCTACACGACGCTGCTGCAGCCTGGTTATGAAATGTAGGTTTTAGAATGGATGGGAGAGACAGAAAAGTTTATAGAGACAATGTTGGTCAAGAGGCACCCATTCTATACAGTACATATTTGAATCTCACTGTAATATACCGTAATCGCTAATAATACAAATCTAAGTATAACACTGAAATACACGATAAACATTAATTATTTTAAAGAAAACCGTGTGAAAACTAGAAAAGTAGTTACAATAGTTAACCTATATAATTGTTATATTATAACCTGGAGTATATTTTTAGAAGTATTCAGACATCATATAAAAAATAACTCACCAAAGTCGCATTCAAGTTCGCCATAGTTATATTTAACAATCATTAATTGTCCCTCAATGTTAATGAGCGGTTTGTCGAGCGCATAATAATGTTCATAACCATGAAGGTAGCTTGTATCAGAATTCTGCCGAGAAAAATACATAATTAATAACAATGAGATCATTTTAAATACTATTTAAAATATTATAAGGATGTTCATGTTAATTTTACAGACTTACAAATTTGATTAAAAACCACATTGTACATCTGATGCCTAGGAGATTCGATGATTCATCGTCGTCGAATTGGAATCTATTACTGATATATATTTGAAAATTAAAGTTGTGAAAGAGACAAGCCTAAAACAAAAACTATAATGTTAAATACACAACTTTACATCAAGGATTCTTCTAAATTTTTTTAAAAGCATATATATTTTCAATAAAACAGTTATTCTATACGAGACTGCTGTAAACTGGGTATAAGATATTCGTTTTAAAATGGGTAATCTCTGACCTACAATAATATATGGACAATGTTGGCCATGAGGCACCCATTCTACAACGTACATTTTTTTATATCACTGTAATACACCATAATTGCTGGTCATATAAATGGAAAAATAACACCAAAATACACAATGAA